TTCTCCAGGACTTCTCCAGGACTTCTCCAGCACTACTCTGGGACTTATCCAGGATTTCTCCAAGATTTCTCCAGGACTTCTCCGGCACTTCTCCAGCATTTCTCCACGACCAAAGAAAGCCCTCATAAACTCTCCAGGACTTCTCTGGCACTATTCTAGGACTTTATCAGGAATTCTCCAACATTTATCTAGGACATCCCCATGACCAATCGGTGAACACGCTAGAAATTCTCCAGGACACAACCTAACCCATCGTAAAACAACGCAACCTCATCTAACCTAACCTTATCTAACTAAACTTAACCTATACTAATCCAACCTAATCCAAAACAACGCAACTTAATCCAATGTAACTTATCCCATTCAAATTTAAATGAATCCAAAATAAAGGAACCCGCATAGGATGAAACCCACCACCGCCTAAACGTGTGAGGTTATATCTGTCAAAGCACACACGAAAGACATATATCACTACCATAAATCCCAATAGCCGTCTTTTTCTACATATTATCTCAAAAATATGACACTGCAGAGAAGAGACAATGCTTTAACCAGGTGACAGTTTTACCAACTGGGAGTCATGTCATCCAACGTTCATTCTTAAAGGCGACGGGAAACAGATTGGTCTGTGCTGACCACAACACGATGGCACACATATTACCCTTTAAAAATTATCCACCAGAATGTAAGAAATATTCGACAATTATACCTGGTTGGAATCATATAATTACATGTTCTATATTATGGGTAGAATAAAATGATTATTTTTTTCATATCAGATATAGGACTGCTTTCTTTCGTGGACGTTTAACATTCTCGACATGTATAAGTTTCTACTTCAAAAATCACACATTAATTTTGACGCGTCCTCTCCAGGAATTCTCCAGCACTACTCTGGGACTTATCCAGGATTTCTCCAAGATTTCTCCGGCACTTCTCCATGACCAAAGAAAGCCCGCATAAACTCTCCAGGACTTCTCTGGCACTATTCTAGGACTTTATCAGGAATTCTCCATTTATCTAGGACATCCCCACGACCACCCGGTGAACACGCTAGAAATTCTCCAGGACACAACCTAACCCATCGTAAAACAACGCAACCTTATCTAACCTAACCTTACCTAACTAAACTTAACCTATACTAATCCAACCTAATCCAAAACAACGCAACTTAATCCAATGTAACTTATCCCATTCAAATTTAAATGAATCCAAAATAAAGGAACCCGCATAGGATGAAACCCACCACCGCCTAAACGTGTGAGGTTATATCTGTCAAAGCACACACGAAAGACATATATCACTACCAGAAATCCCAACAGTCGTCTTTTTCTACATATTATCTCAAAAATATGACACTGCAGAGAAGAGACAATGCTTTAACCAGGTGACAGTTTTACCAACTGGGAGTCATGTCATCCAACGTTCATTCTTAAAGGCGACGGGAAACAGATTGGTCTGTGCTGACCACAACACGATGGCACACATATTACCCTTTAAAAATTATCCACCAGAATGTAAGAAATATTCGACAATTATACCTGGTTGGAATCATATAATTACATGTTCTATATTATGGGTAGAATAAAATGATTATTTTTTTCATATCAGATATAGGACTGCTTTCTTTCGTGGACGTTTAACATTCTCGACATGTATAAGTTTCTACTTCGAAAATCACACATTAATTTTGACGCGTCCGTCTGTCTATCCGTCCGCAATTAATAGCGTCCAAACTGCCTGACCGATTTCGATCAAAAACGTTACACTTCTAACCTAAACACTAGCCACTTCCATTTTGGTTTAGTTTCTATCATTTTAAGAGCCACTTTACATGTGGACCTAATTAAATTCTTCTTCGTATATTCTGTGTTTTTTCACCAATTCTGATAAAACTTTATATGCAATACTTGCAGTATAAGAGTACGTGTTTGATTTGGGTCATTCGACAGTCTGGTCACTTTTATATTCTTCAATTAGATTATGGAAGTATTATAGTCTGTAGATTTCATTCACAATAATTAATTTTAACCTATTAATGCACCATGATAACTACATACTTAAGGGATAAATACATTTTTGGAAGCAATTGCCACGTGAACATCACAAAAATAATATTACACTAGAAATGGTTTTCCCAGAAATACAAGGACTAATCACTCTTCCTTCACACCAGATATAAACAAAATACCACTGAGTTAACTGCAGTGATTGATACATTGCTCACATACATTTGTTATACAAGATGTCTGTAACAGACTAAAATACTAAAAATGTGATACAAATGTAAAGAACCCTTCATAAGCTGTGATGACCTGAAACTTATATTCATTAAAGTCACAAGTAAAAAGTTATCAACATTGTACGGATTATAAATTTTTCAGTTTGGGTGTTTTCATACTGTATTATCAGATCCAAAATAATGCTTCTTCTTACCATGGGCATGAAACTGGCGCAGTGAACACTCTTCTTCAGATGTAACATATGAATCTATAAAGAGAACATAAATTAATTACTCATACCTCAAAACAAATACAATTCATAATAATGTACAACAGCTACAAATTGTCATCTTTTTTTAACATGAAAAGTCATTAAGTACATGTTACTAAAAATCATTCAGATGCTTTATCTCTACAGACACCACTGGAACATACATTTGGAACTATATCACTTAAATCAAAGACAAAGAAATTACAGCTATTACATTCCAGCATTATGTTGCAGGGTTACCTTCGGAAATTATAATACATTCTTCCATCATGCAAATAAAAAAGTATAATTTTAACATTGTTATAATAATAGTACTTTTTGTGTTATAGAGTAACACGTTTACGCCGATTGTATAACCATCCTCAGGTAAAGGCAAAGTTGTCCCTCCTGCTTAACTATGGACCACCCCATGCTATAACATATTCTGCATCCCAGCTTAAGCCTATGAAGGCTCTATGGAAAGTAAATAAATCATATTATTTTCTATACATGTGTGGGCATTCAAAACCTATCCATTAGAAGAAAGCGAGTTGTCAGCTTCAAGTCCTGGTTGCTTTACCCTACGAAAATGTTCTGGTACTAGTGCTATTGGTCTACATGTCAAGTCATGTCATTTGTGATGTTATTAAACCCCCAAAACAAGTGCAATACAATGCAACGGTACTGTAACAACAAAAACAACGGCGGTGGCAACGAAGATGATGAAATTTCCGTTATTGCCTAAATTTAAGCTAATATTCTGGAAATCTGTTTCCTCCAAAACAGTTTGTCATGGCCACAGTTATCAAATATAACAGCGGCTAAAAGTTTTTAAAACAATCTCGTAACTTCACGTATCACAAGCTGTCTGAAATCAGTTTAATGATGCACTGATTTGGCATTTGCAAAATAGCATAACACTTACCACTTTGAACAGGTAGCAGTAAGGGGTTAGATAACAGTTTGCACAAGCAGGTGAGTTCCTTGACTCACTTATATAGAGAGACGTTCACGTGAATAATCGAAATCAATAGAACTTCGTAAACAGTTACAAATATTAAAAATAAACGTATGAACAAACCGTCTTGATAAATTTGTAAACCGTTTCGACTCAGATGTAAATACCGACCACCATTAACTACATTACACCGTCAATACAGATGTCAACGCCATCGGATGATAGAATTATTGACTAGAATGTGCTTGTAGTTTAAGTAATTACCAACAGATCTCAGGATGCTGTGCACTGCTACCAACTTAATGGCGCAATTTATGTAATATATTAGATTCTGATAAATTGGGACACGTCTGAACTAGAACACTTTGGCCCAATTCCACGGCTGTCCCAATTATGCAAGTTCCGCGTAAAGAGTTAAAAAGGTTTGTTCTTTAAGATTTTCCCCAAATAAATGGATGCCCCGATTAAATGATGGCCATATTAACCAGAATCTACTGTATTTTCTATGAGATTTTCAGTCGCTCAGATTACATAGCGTCGATTGATTACTGAATAATTAACTAAAAGGGATATTGAATGAAGCTACCAAATTTACGGTCTTCCTACCCTCCCACAGCATTTACTGGAGAAATTATGAAACTTCTACTGTCTGCAATGATGAACTAAAAGGGATGTTGAATGAAGCTGCCCAATTTACGGTCTTCCTACCCTTCCACAGCATTTACTGGAGGACTTATGAAACTTCTACTGTCTGCAATGATGATTAAGGTAGCAAGCATCTATGATGGTTGGTTATAAAGTTATAAGAAGACAGACATAATTTCCAGCATAAAAAGGTAAATAAGGTTGGTTAAATATGAGATACAAATATTAATTTTAAACTGGATAAGTCAATTCAAAGAAACTTTTATGTGTAAGTAAAACAGTGTATGGTACTTATGAGCTTTGTTTTATTATAAAATCTTAATAAATACAGCTTCAAATGAAACATACACTATGCTCTTTAAATATATGGTAAAAATATCTACCAGCACAGCAAGTACATTGTACATGTGTAACATGACTTTACTAACAACTACTGATCACAAACATAGGTATAATAAATAAATACACATTGTATTAAGCTAACATCACACACACACAATAATGTATACACACATGACAATAAAGAAAATCCAAAGTCATGGAAAATTATTTTGCATTCTACAAAAAAAGATTATATTTTTATATGGTGGTGAAGGAAGGTGGCAATCGTATTAAGTTCAGATAGTAAGACTGGATTCCAATAAGGTGACGAAGTGATAGATGACGAAATAACTCTATTGACCCCCATTTTCTATTCTCCAATATATGTGTTTCAACTATCACCTCTACTGGCACATACCTGGTTTTATTCTTGTTTATCTTGGCATTTGAAAATCAAGTACATTTCTGCAATTGCTGTAATCAACACTATTTAACATGAAACAACAAAGAATAAATTTCAGTAAGAAAAATACTTAAGAAAAAACTGTCTCTCTTTAAAATAGATGGTTGGATACCAAAATAAGAAACTCATCAATTACTCTTTACAGTTTGTGAAATTATCAAAGATGCTAAGGTACTTGTCCAACTATTTCAATCAAGTAACCATATGTCAAATCTTATTTCCAAACTTTGAACTTTTTGACTAAACTCTGTACATAATCCTTTTACAAATCTGGTGGCTTAACATCTTCACATGTTTCAGAAGATCTGCACAAAAATGTTATTCAAAACTAAATGCAGACACAGAAAATATCCTTTTCTATTTTTTTATAAACAATGAGGCTCAAAAATTAAAACTGCCATCTGCACAATCATTTACACTAAAGATAAAACCCTGAACTACTGCAAATCTTTACAGTTTATTCAGTGACATGAATTTTTGTATAACAGATTTCAGCATTTCTGTTTTAATGAATGAATATATTAAACAACAAACACCACAAACATAACAATATATTCTAGGCTTTCCACTTGCTTCATCAAAAAAGACAAAAAAACTATGATAATCATATATTCAAAAGATCCTGTCAGCAGAGACCATATTTATGAAAGGGATTTTTCAGGAACTTAAACAACTTCTTGACAAAACCAAATTTATGTATTCAAAGTTATAGAAGCTAAACACAACTATTCAGAAAAATCTATTCTAATAGTTTTGTTATTTGAATATATATTTTCAGGTTACAATATCATTAACAAAATAATTCAGCACATGAATTTAAAAAGAGCTGATTTCAGAAGCATCTTCCTAACCTCCCACTCCCACCTTTATCATCTGTCATTGGACAATTTCAGATTTACTTATTCATGTCATTCTGGCTACATCTATTCTTAGAGCAATTATTACATGTCTTTATATTTATGCTAAATAGTTCATGATGTTTTAAGCTTTAAAATAAGTGTCTGTATAAAACTTCAGTTTCTTGTATGAATAAGGCAGCTACTTAACCACACTTATTTAAGTAACATGATTTACAAGGTTTTAATATTTATTTTAATTTTTCTATAGGAAAACACAATCAATGTCAATGGCTATAAAATATCTATCAATGTACCACAACAGAAAATGGTGCTAGTATTGCTTCACCTCATGAACTAACACAGATGTCAATAGGAATTATGATGGAAAATTAAACATCATCTGGAACAATATATGTAACTGATTCATGGACAGACATATATACTGCTCACTAATAGGTCCTGAAAAAAACTCTGTTCCTTAAGAAACTCACAAGAATTAGTTCAGATGACCAATTATTCAGGTGTGTAACAGTCCTGGTCCATGTGTTGAATAATATTGTTTATCCACTCATTTCATTAATACAGGTAATTTTTAGCTTCTGTGACAGGTTGACCACACTGCCCATGATGTTTCTTGGATACAAGTGATCGCGACCTGCAATTTTCCAGATCCAGGAAGCAGTCGTTAGAGTATGTCTTGCCATCTGTTCCACAGATGGGATCGTAGTAATTTTCACAAATCTTCTGGCAGCCACGGAACATGAACCCCGTCAGGCAACGCTTCATGGGTACCACAAAGATGTGCTTCCTGGGAACAAAGTTCAAAAATATTTAAAAGGTGTTATTACAATTTAATTTCACACATAAATAATGTATAATATTCTATTTGTTCGGTCACAAATGCCAACAAGGGAGCATGGGGAAGGGGTGATAAAATTTTACATATTCCTAATCTTAACACAAGACAGAGGTGAGTGGCAAGCATTAAACACCAGATACCAACATCTGCTGCAGCACATGTTCTAAACCTGTGGCCACAAAGGCGTTCATTATCTGTAATACTGTGTCACAATGTATAATACAAAATAGTTTCTTAATATCAATACACAAACTTTGTTGTAAAGATTTCAGGTTCTCACAGTGACAAGTATGAACAGGGCTGTCTTGTGGGACGTTGTGCATTGTAGTCTAGTAAATATTGATCAATGTTTCAGAAATGTTCACTACCTCCCATATCATCAGGTTATACAATGCAACAACCCAGAACACAACAATCTTTGTTAATGTTGTTAGTATCTGGCAGTACCTCTCACTGTAAGCAACTGCAAAGGATAATAAAGAATGTCAAATCAAGAATTAGGATGCATCTTATTGTGTTGAGAATCCCTGACTTACAGCGCATTGTAGCCACAGCATAGTATGCAGCCCATCAGTTTTCTGGCTTAAATATCATAACAAATTATAAACTGTGGAATACAGAAGTGTTAAAACTCTGCTGCACCACTCTGAATCCTGTTGTCACCAGATAAGTCAATTTAAACACCTCTGATACACTATATTTCCTTACATTAAGCATATCGAGCTCTCTGAAGCAATGAGACAGTAAAAGATGTTTAAAACTTCAAAATGAGTTGTATGGCTTCAAATATATCATATCAGACTTCTAATGTTTTGTACAGGCACAAAATACAAGGCTAGTGATATGTTTATACAAATATTATTTCTATAAAACAAAAGAATTTAACAAAATAAATTTATGTTCAGAGTACAGCAGTAATAAAGAGCTTTATGGCTCCACCTACTAACCCACAATTATCTCTTCTCATTTCACACTCATTGCGGTAAAACTTATTGTCAGAGCCACAGACAAACTGGCGTTCAGCACCACACACTTCATTGCACTGGGCAGTAGTGCGGCAGTGTTGCGAAGGAACAGCAACTACTTTCTGGCCACATGTCTCCTTTTTCATTTCACACAATGATCTGCAAGAAAAGAGATGTGTGAACTCAGATTTAACCAACTACATGTACAGTGTCTTCCTTTAACAGATGGTGCACCCAAATGTTCATGATGATCACCAAACGGGGCACCAGTGGATCCGATTTAAGCCAGTTCAAGTCAATTCACATTTTTACTTTTTCACCGATTCCAATGTCAGTATCATCCACATATCTGACTAGGTCTCATAAGAAATTTTTACACATATGATTTTCCAACCAAGTCATTTACATTTCTTGTGTAAATCATCCTGACAACTTGAAACTTCTGGAATCAATTGCAACAACAATATTTTTAATTACATCTCAATTATTTATTATGTTTAATTCATAACATCAAATCCTTTGCCCTGGCCAGGGATCAAACTCCAGTCATCTAGTCCATACTCTTGTCTTTTACCTTGAACTTACAAAAATTCTTTCCTCCTTTTATGTCATGGTTTGATGACTGTAAGAACAAAATTTAACAGAAATTGCTTTACCGGTAGGCATTTCCATCTGAACCACATACAGGTGCATCTTCATCTTCTGGGCAACTGTTTGGGCAGAAATCATCTTCTTCCAGTGTAGTGCAGTTTCCAACATGAGCCAGCTGAATTCCCTTCCTGCAATCAAAAGTGTCATTCTTAATCACCAATGATATGAGATTTTCACAATGACGTGAGTTTAGACAGTCGACTTCTGAGTTGTTGCGCCATATACTATGTAGTCTTCTCATTTTATAAATATGCATGTTGTTTCTGTAACCTTATTTTCATTAAAGACCATAAACTCAAAAGTACAATACTTACAAACAAGCAGCAACCTGCAAGAGACACTTGTTGATGTAAGTGTGTGCATCTGTACCACAGACTGGATCCACTTCTCTCGTACATTTCTGGATCTTATTACACTTGTTGAATTTGTTACGACACTTTTCAAAATCTACTGGTTGTACCCTGCGCTTTGAAGCCTGTGCCCTATTAACAAGCAATAAAAGAATTTAAAATGTGAATTTGGTAATAGAGAAATATCACACGAAATAAAATATTATGGGGTCAGATACTAACTTACCACAATAAAGTCACAGAAAGAATATCAAACTAAAAATGTAATTTCAGGTCTTCTGGGTTGTGATGCTATGTAGTCTCATAGGTGGTTGCCAATTTTTCAGAGGACTATGTTGCCTCCATCTTCAGAACATTTCTTCCAAATCACTGGTGGCCGCCAACAAGACTACACTTTGTCACAACCCACAAGATCATCACTACTGTTAAAACCTCAAGTCTCAAACTGTGCAATTATTTGTAGATGGTTGTCTTCTGGGTTGTTGCGCTGTGTAGTCTGGTCGATGTTAACCAACTTTTCAGAGGTCATACTGCCTCCGTCATCAGGGCGGTGAATATGAAGATTTCTGTCTTCTGGGTTGTTGCGCCGCGTAGTCTGGTAGATGTTTACCAACGTTTCAGAGATCATACTGCCCTGATGACAGAGGAAGCATGACCTCTGAAACGTCGACCAGACTACACAGCGCAACAACCCAGAAGACTGCAATCTTTGTGCTAAAGATGTCTGCAGTAAGTAAGTTAATCTGACTACTACTTACCCACAATTGAGCATCTTAAGCTCACACTCATTGCGATAGATGTTGCCATCAGAACCACAAGTCAAGCTTTCATCTTCACCTTCACAATTAAGAGGACAGCCATTTCCATTTGCATTCCGTTCATGAGAGACACAAAAAGACATTGGAACTTCAAACACATGCTTCCTATGGACACAATTACATAACAATTATCAGCAGTCGTGTCATAGCTGTCATGCGGAACTCGTAGCATTTAGAATATATGTCAGTGTACAAGCACCTCTATGTATCGCATAAACACAGTATAGTGAGCTCTTATCTGTCTGTTCACCTAAAAGCTTCAATTTAAATTAATCTCGCATTGGAGGTCTACATTAAATTTGTCAAAAGGACATCAAATCAGACTATCCGTGGTTCACTTTCTGAGGGACATTGTATGATACACTAAGCAATATCAGAAAACTGAAGAATCAAAACACGAGATAGCTGCAAACTTTGTCAAGGTACACAGTTCATTTTACAAAAGGAAATCAAAATTTAGTTTCAAAACTAACTGTGGGCCACTCTTACGTTTGATACTTCAACTAGTTACTCCAGCAAAATAATAGATAACAATGTGATATAATGTGATGACTAACCCACAATTCTTAGATTTCATTCGGCAAGAATTGCTATAGATCTTGCCATCTGATCCACAAGTTGGTTTTGCCACTCGCCAACATGACTCACGGCAATGGCGGGTCGTCTGGCAGTATTTCTTGGACGTGCGGACTACACCTTGCCTGCAAAATCAAACTTCATGATCTTCATTTCAAAGAAATTTAATTTTCTAAAACAAAGATGTTAACTTGAAAGATGACGCTGATGTTCTTCTGAATTACAAAACCATTTAAACTTATAAGTAAATACCAACATTTTGGAGGAACATACTGCCTTTCTGAGGTAAATTGAAATAACGTAACTGCGATATATTTCCTAATTAGAGCAACAGAAGATTTGATTCTTCTGAACTGAGAAAGGACACTTCTTCATAACTTATCTGTATCGCTAAGATATTCAACTGAAGTCAAAGAAGCATCCATATAACGCAATGTTCAACTTCAGTCTACATCTCCTTTTGCTGTAACATTCGCCTTCATTCACTGAGACAAGAAAACAGAGTTTTGCTTCGTTGTCCAGTGATACAAAACTCACCCACAAGTTAGCAGTTTCATCTGACATGTGTTCTTGTAAACATTGCCATCGGAGCCACAAATAGGACCATCAACGGGAGCCTGGTCACATGATACAGGGCAGTTCTCACGATGTGCCGATATATTGTTGCAGGACCCCAGATGTGACATCTGAATTCCAACTCTGTCAAGAAAAAGAGTGTACATTATTGGTCACAGGTCGCAGATGGAAAGATGTAGGTCACGTAAATGTCTGGAAGGAGAAAATCGGACATATTATTGGTCAGAAGTCGCAGATGGAAAGATGTAGGTCAACTAAATGTCTGGAAGGAGAAAATCGGACATAAAATACAAATTATTGAAAACAATTATTTTAGACGAGAGATTATTCTGAATTTTAAAGGAAGGGTTACATGAAGTTTTGGAATCGTGGCTCTGAGCAGTGCCTGAAATGTTTCTGTCTGTGAAGAATTATATTACCATTCTAAAATTTCTAAAAAATTTCAAAAACATTTGTACAAGGCAGGCCAGATTAACGTACCTGCAAATCTCGACTTGTAACATGCACCTGTTGAGGTAAGTTCTACCATCAGTGCCACAAACTGGGTCTCTATCCTTGCCACACCGATGTTCGCAATGAGCACCAGCTGATCTCATGCACAGTCCGGAATCTGATGCCAGTCGTACTCCTAGAGAATTGAAGTGATAATAGAATATGTAAGAAACAGTAACAGATATAAGTATTAACCTGACATTTTGCATTTTGTAGATTCATAATCATAAATTAACTCTTTAGAGAAGAAGCTGGAATCCAAAATTTCTTATGGAAATAGAAAATCAATTATTACAATGGTTTGGCCATGAAAAGAGAATGAAGCCGCAGTATTTTGCCTCTTCTTATAATTCTTCTTTAGCATCAAAAGTTAGGCCTCTCAACATTTTTATAACGGATCCGTCAGTCTCCTTAGAGGGGTTTTCTTAAATACTTTGTACCTGTTGTTTTGTTCTTTAATATTAAGCTTAGTATGACATACTTTTTACCTTCCATTCTTCAAATGTAATCCTGCAACTTAACTGTCAGACACCGTGCCTTCAGTACTTCTTCATGAGACTTCCTGAAGATCCCTTACACATCAAGATTCTTCTAAGAATACTAAGCAGAAAAGGCTACTGTGCTGGTCTGGACTCTTGGTGAAGAGTGTCGACGTTCTGCCGGGAATCGACCCTCTGTAGTCCAGAGCCGGTCATTTTACTATCAAAGGCCCATTCAATTTCATTTATACTGGGCGAAGATGGTTGTCTTCCGGGTTTTAGAGCCGTGTCATCTAGTAGAAGTTTACCGACGTTTCAGAGGTACACGGCGCTACAAACCATAAGACAGCCATCTTCGTAATCACCTCCATGAAAACCTCAAATCTTACTATGCTGGGTGAGTTCATCAGCCTACCTTTCCCACATGTCTTCTTCTTCATTTCGCAGAGACTGGGGTAGATGACTCCGTCTGAGCCACACACGGGGTCTCCACCACCCGGAGTTGTTGGTTGAGGGCAGATGCGGGGACAGGACGAGTCGCGAGCGAGCACAGCGAAGTCTGCAAACAAATGCGATGACATCACAGCACACGCAAATTCTGCCTTTTTTATATGAACTGACAAATCTCCTAACAACTTACTGGCAACCGGAGTTAGTAAATACAAGAACGAGTTCCTAGAGAATCTAGTTAATGAGGTTACGTGTACGAGAATATCTTCACCCGCAAAAACAATTTCCTTCAAAAGTTCTGTCTTAGTCAACGGCATTCTGTTCCTTGGAAAGAAATACGAAGCAGGATTTCCTTAAGATGCTTCAATCTAAGTTATATGGCAGGATTAGCATTAATTATAAATACAATTATGCAATTTGGTGATTCATTTCTCATTTTTAACTACTACAGGAAATGTAGCTGTATTTCGACTATAATTTTTCAGCAGCCTTCGTTGTGATATGAACATGGAACACAAGTCACGTCAGATGTGGAAAAAATAGATTTACCTGCAGAACAAAAGTAAACCACTTCACGTATCACCATACGTGATAACCGTTGTGCAGGCAAGTTCTTGTCGTTCGTAGTTTTTCAAAACAAACATTTACCGAAGTAGCGAACACATGACACTAGACAAGAAATGCTACAGCTGCACACAGATTCTACTAACTAATTAACAAACCAACTAACTTTAGACATTCCTACGTAACTAGGTACCTATCTCAGTAATCAACTAACTAATCATACAACTAGCTAACTAATTAACAAACAAGTTAAGTAACAAAAAATTCAAACAACCAACCAACTAAGTCTACTGTGCCTACAATAACTTCCTTAAGCGGTAGATGTCATTCAGTTTGTCAAGAAATTCCCAAAATTATAAAACAGTCATCAATAAATTTCATTACTAGCGCTCCTACAGATCATCTTAAATCGAGACCATGCACTCATAATAAATTTCTCTGAGACTTACAGAATGCCCCAAAAACATGTACACACACGATACTAAATATTAACCTTGTTGTGCATCTCCGTGTGTTGTGCTTAAGAGGAAAACCTAGTGCGATCTATACTTAACAAATGTCATCGCAATAAATGTTCCCATGATTAACATTAGCAAAATGTGTGTATAAATCTTTTCGGGTCAGTTTGTATTTAAATATTAGACTGCACTACATCCTACGCCTAGGTTACACTATAGTCCCGGAGTTTTGCCAACTTGAACACTGTATGTATTTCACGTTTTTCCAGGCTTGTTACATGCGCTGCACATTTGAATAATTTTTATTTAAATACCTCACGATCATAGGTAACGGGAACTAACAGCGAAGTTTCACATTATGTATTTCCTCCAATCCCTCTCAATTCAGAAGCTGAAGACAGGAGCTAGCGGGGTACTTACCCCAAGCGCAGATGACAAAGGACTGTGTCAGTAACGTTCTGAAAATTCCAGAAACTGAATAATGGCACAAGGCGCAGATGACAAAGGACTGTGTCAATAACGTTCTGGAAATTCCAGAAACTGAATAATGGCACAAACCCCATTACGGTCTGTAAGTAGTAAAATCAATAAATGTAATCAGTTTTACGTATATGGTTTTGATTAAACTCTTCGTATAATTCTACACACAGCGTTAACCAATTCATCTTTGTAATGGAGAAATGATGTTTTCTTTGAGGTACGGACTAAATTCTTAAAATTTACTTAGGAGAGTTTCTGCTTCAAAGGGTTAAATATATTCCCAATAAAATGTCACATAAAAAATACGTCATCAAATTTGTTGTCACTGTTTTTGTTTCTTGATTCTACAAACTTAAACTAAACTTTGAACTACATAAAATTATAGTTTGTTATATTTAATCCTTAGAATTATACAATACTTGGCTATTCCTAAGTGAAAGGTAATGTATTCCCTGACTATTAGAGACGATATATAAGGCCATTCTTTTGTTGCATGTAGAACGTTGACCTGTCGACCTCTATGCATGGTGATTTGGTAGGCAGCTGTCCAAATCGTACGCCCCCGTACAGACAACTAGCATTGTCCAAGCACTGCCACTCAAGTAAGCAAGAAGGGAGCGCCTGCCTGATTCAAGTCAGTCCTCAAATGCTACTCCCATCTCGATGAGGATCTCCAGGAACGGGTCACGCGACTGAATTTCATCAAGACATCGCCTGCAGATCAAATTCTCGACCTACCATCACCAGTTAGCACCATTATCTCGCTGTGAGTGAGTCCTCCAACTGTCTTAACTCCATGAAGTATAGTGTGTCTCAAAGAATGTCAACATTTTAATAAAGAGAATATATTTATATTAGAATTAAAATTTACTGTGACTATTTTTTCCTGTAGTAACATCCCCAGAATCAACTTTGTCCCACGCATCTACTTAGTCAGTCACTTTAAGTAAAGACCTTGTTGTGGTCTGATTTCTGATCCATGAAATCAAACTTTTGTCTGATTAAGGACTGTAAATAAAACTTCTGCAGGATTATGCAGCTTACATTAATGAACTATAGACATGTTTTATTTCTGTTATTAATTATTTCAAGACAGTGAAAGCCGTTATGAGGCTTTCATGTGTCGCTACTGAGATCCAATTTATGAGGGACGGTTCATCATCAGGGCCCTTTACGCAGAGCAGAATTAATGGCCCAGGGCGTGGAAAGAATTGCGGAATGGTTACAACAGGACGCATAAAAATCGATGAACAGAAAACTGCGTCAGACATAAATTGTAATTTTTATTATTTTTGATTTGTTTAAAGACGCTTTCTATTACGCATATCATACATCGACCACTGATAGAACAATAATTACATGAATAGGAAAGGATGTGAAAAGATGTGACCTCATTAATCTGGTATTTGTATGGAGGGACTGAGGAAAGCTATGAAAAAGTCAATATAGCCGCTCTCCGGGCCGAGATTTGAACTTGGCACCCACAGAATATTAATAAAACTGCTAACCACTCGATTTTATCCTAGTATCGTTATGAAAATGGACAATGTGTAGACCCTAACTCAAATGGGGGAAACAAAATGATCAGGTTTTAATAACACCGAAGGACAAACTTCTTAACAGGCAGTCACTATTATCACTAAAGAAAAGATGATCGAAATAAAACATATTTAAATTGGATTGTGAAGATGTGAACATTTTATGTTGTTCTTATTCTTATTTTTTATATTGTTTTTATTATTGTTCGTGTTATTTGATACCGATAAGATGCCCCGTCTAAGGAAAATGCAATTACAACTCCAAACCAAAGCACACAGCCTAGCAGCCTGTATCTGCACACAAAACTGAAACATTGTCATGTGTAATTAGCAGGTACTCTAGAGACAGGAACCTAATTCTTGAACAACCGGTCGCAAACCTTTTGGATCCTTATGTGACGATCCAAACGCGCGGGTGAAAACTCATCTTCATTTTTAATTACTTGCTTGTACTGGAACATTTATCAGACTGTAACTTCAGTTAATTACCTCATCAAATAGGAGCAGTTCCTTAAAACCGCAGCGCTGTTTTCTATGAGAGCTAATTGCAGATCGTTAACGGTAAACATCCATCTAGGATTCCTCTTATGAAGGGCTAAACTCTAGCAAGTTGCTGTACAGAATTCGGTGGGGAATAGCAAATACTAGAACCTGTTGATCCAACGCCACAGCACCACAGAAAATTACCGACCAAAGGATTATAAAAGACTTTAAATAAACTGGATTCAATTTAAAGATGAATGTCTTCTGAAACCCTTCTCCGTGTAGTCTGATACAAGTTTACCGACGTTTCAGAGGTACTTGCTGCCTCCATAATTACGGTTATGAGTGGATTCATTATGTTCAGGACGTACTATTCAATGGAATGTAATAATTAAGTTCAATTAATTTATTCGTGTGTTTAACAACAGCCACAGAAGACCAATAAAAGCCAAGCACTGAAACAACAGTACAAGAACAAATCATATAATTATTGCAACCACAAAAAAAAACCCTGCTACAGCATAAGGTAACAATTTTTCTTCAAACTCTTGAGTATTAATAAAATAAAGGCCCACTCGCAGTCTTGTTTACGTTCCTAAAAAAATTCGGACATTGGTGCAAAATGAACACGTTACTTTTTATGATAATATATTACAGACAGGTAAGCTGCTAATCTACCGATTGTAATTTAAAACCACAGAGTGAAAGGAACATGTTATCACATAAGAATGATCTTAATAAAGATTTTCCTTCCTATGAAGTTATAAAAACAAGGACGAAGAGTGTTACTTTGGAAACCTTCGGCTTCTGTACAGTGCGTGCTTTAGTGAGTTCGCAGAAAACCTAATTATTAATTTCAACGTAGGAACAGCGGCCGATGTAATTACGTACCACTTCGTTGGTGGCCAGTACTCACGAACCAACTGACACTGTACGACCGAAAATTGCTATCGCGTTGATCATTCAACCGATATTTCGTGAAAATGATAAACGATCCAAGGGAACACAAACACCAAACATCGCGTGGATCCTGTTTCGAACGTCCTCGAACCGATTCTGGGCTCCGAGATCGATTATCCTCATTCAATCAGAATACTACAACTTTTACTTGTTCAAAATTGTGGTACTGTTACCGTCAATCGATGATGCTATTGTTTTAGATCTCAATCTTGTTCTCTCTCAGACAAAAGTATGCGCTCGCAAGACTCGTCCATCTACCACGAACCCCGCACCGCGATTGCAGTGGGTGGACAGGTAAATGAACTCTGCCAAAGGGTGAAGTGAATGGATAAAAGAGATATGTAAACCACGGCGCAGTACGTGTATTATTTATAATAAATTTAATTCTGAACGCACTGATAACAGCTATTAGTGAATGAAGACTTTTCGATTAAAAGCCGGCCACATCTTGGACATCTATGTGTGTTTTTAACACAGAATACAATGACAATTTCTATACATTTTGGATTATGAAAAAGCCTGTATTCCTTTGTATACAAAATGGTGACAGATACGTAGATTCTGGGGGGGGGGGAATTCTGTGTCTGAAGGCTCTCTTGTAGTCCCAGGTAAAAAACGAATATAAA